CCTCTTAAATTGACTATAAACAGAAAAAGCTGTAACCAAAATAAACCACTGTCTAAACTCAAGTAAGCATCCCCCCAGGAGCCTGTTTGTCTGATGTTTAACAACATCAATTTAGTTAGATGGTATCAGTGGCACATGCCCCTGGGGCAAAAGCACTAAATGTTGCCTTATGCTGTTGAATCATTTCACACGCTCCTGTTATTCACAATAAAGCACATTAGGAAACATCTTGTTTAATTTAGTTTATTGCAATGATGAATATTGCTCAATTGCTTTTCTTGTTTGACAGTGGAAAATTAACGATCCATACATCACTAATTGTTTACCATGGTGTCATGTACTTCATACCTTTTTTCTTTGAAACATGGGAATGCAACACATAACAGAAACAGTTTTTTCCAAAATATTTGGATATCTGAGATATAATTAGTCTATACTTCAACTACTTACTGTTGAAAACTATTTTCCACCCTTGCCTCTATAACACTGTGTTCGTAAAGTGTTGTTTACAGTTGAGAAGTATCAATTTTATATGAAATACAGGTTTTGGACTAGCTGATGTGGTAAAATTACATAAGTTGTAGAAAGACTGCCTCATCAAGAATATCTTTAAACCACAGTGAAGTATTTTGAAGATACAATATCCAGTTTTCTAAAACTGATGCTTACATTTGACACAACTGTGTATCTAGACACTCAAACTGGCAGGGGGCAACTACATTTTAGTGTAAAGTGAAACTGAGTGTTAGTACCCCACCATGAAGAGCTGGCTTCTGCTGCTCAAAGGCTCCCACTGCTAAGGTTGCTCAGTTCTTTTAGAATAAAACTAGCTGGTATGCTCCATAATGCAACATTGATTACTAAACTTATGCTGAGCTAATCTGTATTTAGAAAAAAAATTAATCCTATACTAAAAATTGAAAGTCCTTAACAGGGCTCAAGGGAGGAAGATCTCACAGACTTCAAAGCAAAACTATTTGCTGTTCAAATGTCCAGTCTATGAACAAACATAGTCCACTGGAAATAAAGAAATCTTTTGGAGTACTTTAAAGACCTCCAGCATGGAGGAGCAAGCATACCCATTAGACTGCAAAACTGGTATTTAGCCTGGTAATAGGCAGGCTCCCACATGGGACCAGCAAAGAACTTCAAAGGTACTAAGTCGATGGAGCAGGATTCACCAGCTCCTCTCTCTGACTCAACCATTAGAAAAACTGAAGAAGGTTGAACTTATCAAATACTCCTGTGCCTTTCAGTCTCAAATTCACAAGAGTTTTTAACATAAATTAGAAACTTCGGGTTGTTCACAGCATAATATGGCTCTGAACATTAGTAATAAGATGAACTGATTGGGAGTTAGGGGTTTTGAACAGAAATTAGTTACCAGGTGTGTTTTTTTTTTCTTTGTAAAGATGTAAATGTCAAATAAAAATCCCATTATACCTAAATAATGAAGGGAAAAAAGGCACAAATTCTGTACTGTGATAAACTGATATAATTACATAGTTGAATAAAACTGCAATCAGGAGGAACTGGATAAAAATAGGGTCCATATTCCCTCTGCCATACTCTAAGCAAATTAAATCAGTGTTTAACTTCTACTGGGTCTTGTTACATTCCAGCGGACTTCAAAACAGTCACGGTATAGATCTGAGAAACTATCTGTGGTGGGCCAGCAGGGAAACAAATGTCAAACTCAAATGGCAAACAAAACTTTCAACAAAGACTTCATTTCCCTGAACAACACACTTTTAGTCAGCTTTCTTGTTTTAACCAGAAGTTCATTCATCTCAGTGATGAGCAATGCTGAAAATAACATTAGAAAATGTGAAATGTTTACCTTTCATATACTCAATATATTACCTTGAATTTCAAAAATACAGCAAAAAATATAGTCTAAAATTGCACAAGAAGTTTAATTCTAATCAACTAAGTTTTGGAGCTTTTAGAGTGCGGAATATTTCAGCTCACACATTTTAAACATAATGGTAGGAAATGGTATCAGTGAGGACAGAAGACAGCTATTAGACAGGAATTAGCAACTTACAGTAATACAATTAAAATTGTTTTTCCTCTGCACATCAGGGTCTTGGCCATAATCAAGCATGCTGCTGGCTTTTTTACAAATATACATGCACAACATTTATGAAATAATTTTTAACATTTACTGACCTGCTTGCATAAAGCAAAGATGTCAAATAACTATGTCTTTATATGAAGAAGACAACTTAGCATGGTGCTTGGGTACTACATCAAAATCAGAAGTCTTGTAGCACTACCATCTTTGCAGCAAGAGCAAGAGCACTTCTTATAGAGAAATAACACCTTTTCCTTAAAAGTAGTAGAAATTTTTATTTGCCTTATGAATGACAGGCAGTTGAACTTAGCTGTAAAAAAAGACGTGCAAAAGAAACCTAAGCAACCTCAAATTAAACTATTAGTAACACAAGAGTTTAAACTTTTAAACTAAACTTCAGTGTCCCATAAACTTTAACCAATTTCCAATGAGAAACATGAAGGGTATATTTTTAGCAACATCAGTTTATATGAATAAAATACTACCTTGAAGAAATTACTACTCATGTATTATATTTTAAGGCTGGAAAGCACCTAAAGATCATCCAGTTCAACCCCCCCTACTATGGGCAGGGATGCCTCATACTAGACCATGTTGCCCAAGGCTCTATCCAACCTGGCCTTGAACACTGCCAGGGATGGAGTATATACCACTTTCTTGGGCAACGTGTTACAGAGCCTCGGCACCCTCACAGTAAAGAGCTTCTTCCTTATACCTAACCTGAACTTCCCCTGTTTAAGTTTTAACCCATTTCTTCTTGTCTTGTCTCTACACTCCCTGATGAAGAGTCCCTCTCTGGCATTCTTGCAGGTCCCCTTCACATATTGGAAAACTGCTATTAGGTCTCCAGGCAGCCTTCTCTTCTCCAGGCTGAGCAGCCCCAACTTAGCTTGTATTCATACAGGTGCTCCAGCCCACTTATCATCCACATGGCCCTCCTCTGGACTTGCTCCAAAAGTTCCATGTCCTTCTATATAGAATTTGGCATTCCCATTACTATAACTCCTCATTGTTCATGCAGGTTTTTTTTAAGTTGCAGCCTATTGCTAATTGCTACTGCTAATGTATGAAAGCATCCCCTCAGTTTACAGATGGAGATCCCACTCATCATAGGAATTTCCAAATTTCAGGCTGTACATTGCTAAAGCAACCTTCATTTTACAGGCCTAAAATTTCCTTGTGAAGTTCAAAATAAGAATGTCAAGAACTTATTTTGCTGTTTGTTACTGCTGCTCAGTGACCAAGTAAATGTTTTATTCTGTAACTATACATGCATTAGTGATATCACTCAGCAGTGATGCTAACAGGAATTAGGAAGCCACTGGGCAGTTCCAGAGTATCGCTTTTCTTTTTTTTTTTTTCTCTTCGATCTGACCTTCCCCAGCAAAAAGCTTTCCTATTTGCATGGAGAAATGTTTTCAGGATATGCAGGCCACACAGTAATGTCATTTCAATTGTATGGATTTACATGGCCTCATATGCTATTTCTTTTGACTGTCACAGGCAAAAATCAAAATGTGTAAACTTAATGCAACTTTTTTATGAATACTTAAAACATAATTGCATCTTCTTTATGGGTCTTCTGCTAGCTTAGTGTCATTAAAATTCATTTTTATGAATGTGCAGTGCAAAGAAAAAGCTGCTAACATGTCACAATAAACCAACTGCCTGAAACCCTGCAGAAAAAAAAAAGAGGTAACATTTGCCTTGTACCTTCTAGTTTATGAGAGAAGATATCTAGAAGCAGCTGTAAAATGGTCATAAAATAAAATTGGAATTTATATCAAAATCACTCTTAATACCTTCGGGCTTTTCTATCTCTGCATAGTTTACTCTGAGAGATTTAGTGGTAGAATTTTATGTTGGTGGGCTGAAAGTTATAGTGGAGTTGTCAGTAATACTACCTCTTTTTAGTGTGTCTGCCTATATATCAGTCTATTTATTTTTAAATAGCAAGATAGTAACCCTCAGAAGGTGCAATATGAAAATGCTATTGACAACAGCTGAACAGTCATAGAGCTGTTAACCATCGTTAATGAAAATGCTGTTGAATGCAAGCGTTTTTAGGGGTTTGGGTTTATTTTGTTTTTTGTTGTGTGGTAGAATACTTGTACACCACCCTTCCTAACCACGTTCCCCACAGACACTGTTCTGACTTCTACTTACAACTTCTGTTGAGAGATTTCTTTAAAAAATAAACCAAACCAAGCAGTAAAAAAAGCAGCATGAGAAAATGCAATATTCGCATACATGCTGAATGAATTATGAAAGCAGTTTTCACTAAGGCATTTGAAAAAAATGTTGACCTTAAGTCCTCTTCTGACATAAAGGTGTGTATGTGTACATGTATGTAATAAGTGCAAGAAGCATGTTTATCAAAATTGCAGGAGTTTCATTAAAAAAAAAAAAACAAAGCAAAAACAAAAAAAACCCCACACACAGAGAAAAAAAACAAACAAAAAAACCCCACAGAAAATGTATTGTAAATGCTAGCATCTCACTCTGGGTCCTGTCTCATGAGTAATAACATGACCTAGTAATTTCCACCCAGGGAAGAAAAGCAAAACTAAATGAAACCAAACCACCATTCACATAAAATGTAAGGTTTGTTTGGCATCAAAACCATGAGATTTTTACTTCCACACTCAAATATGATGCTTCCCAGTGCTTGGTGAAGTTTTACAACAAACATTTGCACAGCTTTACAACTTGTCAGCTGAGTCTCAAGTCTAACCTCAATACTTTTTAAGCTCAGCTTTTATCTTTTCTCCACAAGCTTGTAAAAATGTATCATTACAGAACTCAAACAATGAAGATTCCTGTTCCCAAATGGCCTAGAATTCCAAGGAAAAAATCTGTACTGGTAACTTTTAGGTAAGGGGATTCCCAGGAATAAGAGAAATATGAACTTATACAACCAAAGTACAGTCTGAAATTATTTCTTATTTGGAAAACAAAAAGTGCAGATGTTGAATGTATTTCCATTTCTTTGATTACTACTTTGTACAGTGCTGTATAAAACAGATTAGTAGAGAAAACTGAAATGAAGTAAACAACAAAAGAAAATAAAGAACAATTACCCACAGTTGTTTACAGTATGTTTACACAGGGAACTGTCAGGCATCTTCTTTTGATTAGAGCAGAAGAATCTTATTTCAATTTCATGAAAATTAGAAAGACAGAATTCTGCAAGGCATAAAAACAGATGATGAGTTACAAAATCTCAACAAGTTACCTGATCTGGAGCAGTCCTACTGCTACTTGCTTCCCTGAGAACACAGGCTACTCCAGCATGAACTAGAACATCTTAGCCTAAACCACTGATGACCATCACCTGATAGTAATGGTTAACAATGACAGACATACACCACTGCTAGGTTGAGCTCACATCCATAATGCTACAAATCTGAGGACTGCCTGCTGCTGACTAATGAAATATAAACTCTGCAGTTTTCTGGACGTAACTGCTTCCAAGAACAATGCCAAAACTTGATCGTAATACTTTCTCCTTATTTCCAGCCTCCCCTTTACATCTGTATCTATGGACTCTGTTTTAAGATACACTGCAATGGATCTTTTATAAACAGGTCATGATAGGTCATGACATATTTGTTGCACACAAAAAAAGTCATGAAAATTTTAAGCTTTTATAAAGAACTACTGATATCTTTTCTTTCTGGGGAAGAAAGAAAGATGTGGAAGAGGGCACCACAACAGCAGCTGGAAGCAGGGATGCTAACATTTGGTGCTGTAAGATCTCTTAGCACAGAGAATAACTAGAGCTTGAGGTAGCCAACTTTATGCATAGTACTTGGAAAAGAAGCTTAAATTATCTTGTGTCACACATAGCAATATAAAATTTCATAGTCTTTTAGATTTGGTAGACCTGCAGCACTATCGACCGCAACAGGCCTTGCTACTGTAGAGAAGATTTAGGAAGCCCAAAGATACAGTAATTAGGCTGATATGAGACTATATCAGGGAAAGCCATAATCAAACTTTTTATTACACTGGGCTTTGCTTTGGGGTCCTTAAACACTGTCTGAACTGATGACAGAGCTACAGGCAGTTTAAGATATAAAGCAAGAACAAAACCTGCAGAGCTTTCTTTTCAAGAGATTAATTTCTACTGGGCGTAGAAATGCTGGGTTTGAGTTATCCTAATCCTCTTGAGCCACTACATGCCTTTAATGAAGTGTGGACAAAGCCAGGCAGTGCTTAAGAAACAACAGAAGAGACTCTGTAAAACAGTTCCAAGCCCACAGAGGATGACACATTTCTTGTTAAACAGGTTTAAAATGTCTAAAAAAATTAATCAAATCTAAATGGGATTTACATTTCCCATGACCAAAAAGTCTGATGGCTTTTGCTTACCTACAGGGTGACCAGGTCTAACTTTAACCAGAATTTGATGCAGCCTAATAACCTATTTGATTGTCTTGGTTGAGATCAAAGCCAGCTACATAATATATTCCTAAGGAAGTATATTTTGTACCAGTTGACTGTTACCACCCATGTATTATACCATCTGGAAGCAGGCTGGTAGCTTATAAAAAACCTCAATAAAAAGAAGAAAAGCTGCTAAGTGGTCTCAGTATGTGCACTAAACTATAAGAGGTTTCCTTAAAAACCTCTTGTTTGCTTTACTATAAGCTGAGACTATAGGAAAATATGTTGCAGGATGGGGCAAAAGTAGTAACTTACTGTAAGAAGTTTTTTGTTTTTTTCAGAGCAAGTAGATTCCATACAGTTAAAGCAGAATCATGCTGGAGAGAAGCAGGATGCCAACTGTTTTCAGGCTAAATCAGCAAAGAAAACTTAGGCATCATACTCCAATACCCAATAGCAAGGTTCCCTATTATCCACTGAAGTCCTAAGCTGAGTCTGCAGTGGCCAGTGTCTCAGAGACATGCAGAAAATCAGGGACCTTAAAAAGAGGATTCACATAAGTATGTGGGTCTGGCTATCTGATATTCAGTGAGGAGGCCCAACATCAACTTTTGGTAATTAACTAATTCCACATCCAAGTCCACACTAACAGAGAAATATGCATTTCCTCTGAAGAGTTACAGTTGTGACTCCTCTCCAGAGGTGGGAAGCTTTCCTCCCTCCTCCCACTCAACCAGAGGAGTGAGAAAAAGAAAGTCATGTTTAAGCTGAGTTGTACCTTGTTCTGCAAGAAATCAAGGGGACCACTCAAAGAAAACAATGCTACTAAATGTAAGAAGACATGACAAAGACCAGCCATAAACCTAAAAATCTTCTTCAGATTTGTTGTTATAAAATAAGTTCATCTGCAAGTAATTTAATTTAGTTATTTGAGAAAAGCACAGAAATGCTCTGCACAGCATTAGGTGTCTAAGGCCTATCACAAAAGCAATCAGATCACTCTGGAGACCAGCTGTGCATCAAGCAGATTGCTTTTATCTAAGTGATAAAAACCTTGTAGACTGTGAACAATACGGGGCATAAAACATAACATTTTTAATGAACAACATAAAAGATGAAAAGAAAGAGCACAAGAAATGGCAATTCAGTCAGAAGATGGGGAAAAGGAGCCTCCCTAACATGACATTTTATAGCAAGTGGGTTTTGCAGGAAGCAGATTTTAGAGGGGCAAACAGTATTTTTCTCCTCTAATTAATCCAGTTGAGGTACCTTGCAAATCAATCAAGAATGTTCCAGCATCAGATGACTGAACCTAAAGAACCAGCATTAATGTATTCTGGACCCATTTCAGAATGAAGATAAGTCACTGAAACTCCATTAATTTCAATGAAGATGCAATATTGGCCTTTTTACTGTAATCTTCTACATCAACATGAAAGAAAAAGCATAAACCATTAAGCATATAACTGCCTTTTTATTTTATTTCTTTTATGAGGCTCCAAGTAGGACATTAACAGCAGATTATATCTTTTGTGAGCCATCTAACAGGCCTTTAACAATGGAAGGGTGCCCAATAAATAAAATAATTATTATTACTACTACTTATAGTTGGCCAGCCAGCACCAACTGATAAAATTTTAACATTTGGAAAGTCAAGAACTACTTCAGCATTCTGTATATCAAACTGTCCTCTTCGAGTGCTAGCATTGTTTTCTTCAGCCCAACCCAAACACAACTAAAACTTTATTTCACCATGTAAATTTCTTTCTACTTCCTAGAGCAGAGCAACCATGTTTTTTTGCACCTGCACTTACACCACAGCAGGGGACTCCAGAATGGCATACATTCCTGTGAAATCTGACTCTTGGGCACAGAACATTAAGCCAGGACGTCCAGGTAGGTTGCTGTGTGATGTGTTTCCATTGGTTAGTTAGGTACAGGTGAAAAGCAACCAGCATCTACAGGAGAGCAAGTTTTCCAGCTTTTTAACCAGATGTTGATCATTACCATTGACATCAACAAACACAAAAATCTGCTATAGTGCAGAGCTAAATAAAGGAGGACCTGCATGTGAGAAAAGATATAGACAGACACTGGAAAACATGAAGTAAAAGGAAAGGGAAGGATAAACTTTTGAGCCATACATGTTAATCATCTTGATGCTTAGCATGTCTGTGGCTGCCAAAGAGTAGGAAGGAGATACAAGAGTACCTCTAGTGTCCCAGAACACGTCCATCATTAATATATTTGGTTTCTATGACCCTAATGTTGCCTGCAGTAGTTGGGACTATATGCCCATCTATGGCTTCAGAAAACACCGAGTCTAGAACGCTGCCCAGAATATTTTGGATGACAACAAGCCCAGAGACTAGTGGAGATACAGCTTCACAGACCTTCATGAGTTAGCGGTCTTATCAGACCTACCAGCACTGAACTATTATGCCATAAAGTATTAAGAATCACACATGGATAGATTCCAGCATCTGATGCAGTACAAAAACATCTGTGCTGCTTCTCCACAGCTTTTCAGTTTTAAATACAGATTCCATGCCCCAAACCAAAATCTACCATTGACAACCTATTCTGGCTGATTTCAAGGTCTCAAAAACCCTGCAAATGTATGTCAAAAAACAGTCAAAGCACAGCGGTGTCAGTTTCCTGGTGGCAGGCTCCAAGTATTAGAGAGCAGCTGAAATACACTTCTTGTTCACACCACAAGATTGTAGACTCAGAGATAAACATAGCAATGCTTTCTTATGTAGTTATGGTCTTGTACTTCCTGTATCTGTCCAGTATTAAGTTTCCCATTGTTTTTTTCTTGTCCTGCAATCTTGATAGCCACAAGCTCCTACAATATGCTGGTGTAGGAGGATCGCTATGGACAGTAAAAGGCAGTAGGTTTCTCTCTTCTTTACGTACAACTTCTATTATAGATCTGAGAATGTGGTAAGCAAACCAAGGAAAAGCTATAAGGGACTAGGTGGTGACTGTTGCAAAGGCTTTTGACTAAGCGTGATGCCTGACAACGCCAGTGATGATCAGTATCAGAAAAAAGAAAAAAAAAAAAAAAAAGCAAGCCATTCTGAAGCCACCCTAAAAGCAGCCAGTGATGGGTGAAACAGAGACTCACTTTGGAAAGGTCTATCACAGAAGATGTGGCTAAAGAACAGAACAGCAGCATATAAGTACAAATTAACAAAACCTAAATTATCTACAGTTCAGTAGTCTAGAAGTCTAGAAAAGAGGCCTTATTTGTGATGGGGGCAGACACCAACACACACAACAAACGACACCAACCAAAAGCCATCACAAAACCCAACCAACAAACCAAACCACACACACAAAAAACCACACCGCCACACTCACCCCATTAGGTAAAGCAGTAACAATCCGACTTCTGTGACAGAGAAGGAAAACAATTCCCCCAACAAACTACATTGTACTACATAGATTCCCACTGTTCAAAGACAGCCTCATAAAATACCGTAGCTAAACACAGTAACCACATAATCAGATAACAGTATTGCTAATACAGCATATCTGACAATAATCCTTACAATAGCTATATATCAGCAGGCATAGCATAAAGCTTTCTGCATCAAAGCTTCAGTTTAGAGACAAAAACAACTAGTTTTCCTCATGGAAAGCCATATCAACACAGTAAATGCCTCCTTCACACTGCAGAGTCAAATTGGACTTTTTACTTATGCTGTTAAACTACAGAACTGTACCAACAATAGAGGCTATCAGACGCTGACATCTTACGTAGCAGAACAACATAATAAAGTCTATCCTTG